TATTTTTTTGTCCGATTCATCGGTTAATCGAAAAAATAATCGTCCGATTCATCGATTTTTAAAATAATCATTAGTTGCAGCCCTAGAATTGTTAAACAATCTAGGCAGTTGAATTTAATGACATTTAATGATCACAAACCACAAATTTTAAGCGGAGCCTCGAGCTCCAGCAGGATGGGCTGACTGAGGAAGATCTCCCTGGACTTCAGGCATAATCCACGGATCTCATTCTCCTGCAGCTGAACATTCTTGCCCGGCTTTGCTCCACGGACTGAAACAGACAACAACAAACAACAGTCAGTGCAGATAACAGTTAGTTAACCTCCTGCCAAGTCAGCAACACTTAATGAACTGTATGTGTGAGCAGGTTTGGAGGGAAATCCATCTCTGCAACCCTATTTTTTACTATTTTGTTCTTTTTTTTCTCTCAACAAAGCAACACCAGCTGTGAACACGATAGCAACTAGCATGGTTTTAGACTAACGTTATTTTAGCGACACTGAAACCAACAGTGGACAAAGCTCGCAGATATAAATTCCCATAAAAAAAAAATTGAAATGTGTATTTTTTACATATAAAATAATACAGAAACTACGAACAGAAAAAAACGTTAAATAATTAAAAATCCCAATTAGGTCAAACATCTGAAGGGTAACAGAATAACACCGGTATACGCAGCGTCTGAATGTGAGAACAGTGTGTTTTTAATGGCCTATTTCTTTAACTTTAACAAGTACTGCAATTTTCTGTCATTAATGTACTGAGAAAATAATATTTACAAAAGGAATCGTGGGAATGAAAATACAATAAACACATATTAAAAAAAATAATTAGCATTTGCTTCTGTTAGCTTTTTGCCACCGATATTGACAATATCCCTTAATTATCAACATAATCTTTATATATTTCTGAGCGTACTTACCTTCTAAAAGACGTTGAATAATACTGTCTATGTTGAGCTTGTCAACATCAGCCATTTTCTGTATCTATTAAAGTCTAATCGGTCAGATCTTGGTGTTAGCACACTTGAGAAAGCTAGCCCGCTAGCTATCCTAGCATTAGCTATAGCCTGTTAGCTTAGCACCGTTTATTTTCCGTCAGAACGTAAAAAAAATGTAACCGAGACTAAATGTATAAGCTCGTTGGCAATTTTACATGTAAAAAATTGTAGGCTACTTTTACATCCCCGTTTCCATCAACAAAATCAAATCTAGCATGAATTTTGGTTGAGAAAGAGGGGAATAAAAAATAAACGTCAACCGGACTAGCGGTTAGCTAGCGATGGTTTCTGTGTTCTTCCTTTTGCCGCACCTAGAAGAGCCGAGCAGCTGCTGCTGCTAGCTGACCCGCTGCTGCCCTCTACCGTTCATTTTAGGAGGAAGAGACAATAAGCAAGACAAAAAGCTATAACTAATAAATTAAGTTTTGAAATGTAGTTTAGAAAAAGGTATCTACAGTATGTAAATATCGTGACTAAGTAAAGAAAAAAACAGACATTAGTGCCTAATTTTATACATCCAAAATAAAGGGAAACATCTGCATGGTACTGTTTTATTATTTTGAATTGTTATTTCCATTATGCATCAATCACAATTTAATTAAATTCAGTTTATTCTTACAATGTCAATTCATAACACATCTGACTTGTCATCACAAGGAAATTTACAGAGAAAATTCAATCAGATCAGATTAAAAGGTTAAAAGTAGGGGTGCACTGATTGCAAGTTTCTGGCCGATCACCGATTCCCGATCTTTAAAAAGACACACATACATATTCCGATTTTGATAAATACTGATTTTTTTATTTTTTATATGTATATATATATATATATATATATATATATATATAACTGACACTCTCTTTTGTTATTCGATCACAAAACCCCTTAACATTTCAATCTTATCTTACTGAAACACATTAATCTGTACCTGTGAAACCATAAAAATGTACTTTACTAAAACTACGACTACTACTACTACTAAAATTACTGAAACAATTAATTTCTTCTTTCTTGAAATAATCGTCAAATAATTTAGTAATCAATTAACTTCTTAATGTCCACCTCATTTTGGGAAATTCTCGCCTATTTTGCATACCCGAATGGAAAAGCAAATAACTTAGGAAATGTAGGGCCAAATTACATTAACTGGAGTATAGAGACTCTAAAGTTTGCCCGTAGCTGAGAGAGCGACCTGCTTCAAATAGACATTATTCCAAAATTGTGAAAAATATCTAACCATTTTACATTTAAGAAGAAAAAAAAATGTCTGTCAATGTGCTCTATCCAGAACTCCTCAAGTGGAAAATTTTGAGTTTCTCCTGGTTTAATTTCATAAAAAGTCTTCTTTAAGGAATCTTTGGCTATCCGATTTTTAATCTATTAATTGAAAAAATAATCAACAAATTAATAAATTTGGAAAACATTTGTAGGTTGCAGGCCTACTCTCAACTATAAATCAAAGATTAAGCACTCAGTTTCATACCTTTGTGAGTAGATTTCCGGGGAAGGTCAGTTTCACATCTAAGTATCAGTCGCTTTCCGATCATCCCAAAATTAAGGAAATCAGGGCTGATAAAAATCAATCTGTGCACCCCTAGCAAAAAGGTTTCTATTGCCAATTGCATCACGTCACTAACTTTGCAACACACTTCTCCTGGATTAGCATGTGGCAACATTAGATAATTGCTTGCTTAAAATCTAATTTTATAGCAAAACATCTGCATAGATCCCTACCAGAACAGTGAAATGCTTCCCAAATAATGAAACATG